AGGGGGACCTTCCCTACTCACCGAAGGCCTTTTTGGGCTGGACCAGGCGCAGGGTGAAGGGCTGAGCCCGCGGCAGCTCCCGCAGCATCCGGGCCACCTCGTAGTGCCGGCAGCCCACGATGGTGTGGTCGTTGATGGCCTCGATGCTGTCCCCCACACACACTGTCTGCAGCCGGTTGATGATGCTCCCCTCCTTGATCCTCTGGGGACCAGGTGGGACAGGCACACAGTGATGGCACAATGGGACAGTCAGACACAGCCCCCGTCTCGACCCACACACAACCACCTCAGGAGTCCCATGCCCTTTGGTAGCCAGGTCAGGCAGGGAAGCTCTCCCAAACCTCCCCGTGGCAGGGAAGACCCCCAGGGCCAGGGTGGACCCAGGGAAGGGCTGAAGTGGGGAGTCAGGGAGGAGCCTGGTCCCAGGGAGGGGATGCACAGGGGATGTCACCTGCAGGGCCACAGTCCCCAAGGCTGTGCCAGCCCCAGCATGGTCCTGGAGGTTCACCTTGATGAAGGCGTAGCCGGCCCCGTTGTCTGTGATGGTGAGGCCAAGCGCGTCCTCTGTCTTGGTCACCTCCACTTCCTTGGTCTCGCCCCGGACGTGGGCGAAGATGAAATCCTCCAGGCCAATCTGTCCCCCCAGCAGCTTCTGCATGTCCACTTTGTGCGTGTTGAGCGTGCAGAAGAGGATCTGCCCCGAGGAACCCCGTCAGCAGGGACTGGGGATGCTCCAGTAGGGCAAGACGTGTCAGAGGAGCCACGGCCAGTTCAGGGGGATTCGGTCAGGTCTGGGCACTGCTAGAACAGAGGGGCCCAGGGACCCCCAGCCTGCCTGGGGACCCTGCAATGCCCCATCCCTGTGCACCTTCCTACAGCTCCAGGCAGCTGGAATCAGCCAGGGAACTGGAAGCCATGGCTCCCTGACACATACTGGAGGGTGAGAAAACTGAGGCACAGAGTCCCTAAGCCCTCCCCAGAGGAGCCAATGCAACCCTGAGCCCTAACACTCTTCCAGAAAATTTTGGGGACTACATTTGCAAGAATCTGGGAACCTGTGGGAGCACAGACTACAGACAGGGCCACAGGGTGGGTGTCCCTGCCCGGGGCACAAAGACCCCTCCCCAGGCCACAGCCCCTCACCTCGGTGGGCGAAATGTCGAAGACCTCGGCGATTTTGGCGTAGAGCTCCTTGACGTTGGTGAAGCCCTCGATGCGCCCTGTGGGGCTGCCGTGGGCCAGCTGCGTGTGGAACACCAGCCTGGGGCGGCTGCGGGGAGCCCGGGGAGCTGCGGGGCCGGGCGGCTCGGGGGTCCCCGGCTCCTGCCCCACACCGTTCTCCATGGGGCCGCCCTCGGGGGGCCGCTGGCCGTGCCTGCCCGCCCGCTGCATCCCTGCGGCGCTGCTGAATTATGGATGGGGCTGGCTCCCCGCCGGCCGTAAGGTGATCCCGCAGCCCGGGAACCTGAGCCGGTGGCGCAGGTCACCCGCGAGGATCGGGTGAGCTCTGCCACGTAGGAAGAGCCCCGGCCAGGCTGGAGGTGGGAGAGCAGCCGGCCCAGAGCCAGCACCTCACATCCTTCCCAGCCGGGGATGCGGTGATGGGCTCAGGGTTGCCACCCGTGGATCCACCCCAGCAACCCCAGGATCAGCTCTAGAGTTCCCGCTGAGCCCAAACACACAGGGACCAGAGTGGTTTTCTCCAACATTTATTTGCTCCCATCTCCATCCCCAGCCCAGGGGCACCAGGAGATGGCAAATGGCAGATGCACAGCACAGGCCTGGCAAGCGAGGGAGGGGTGGGAACACCCCAGTCCCCATCAGACCCAGGGCCAGGGCCAGGCCCATGTAGTGCTAAGTAAGAAAATAAGACACTCTCTAATTACACAGTCTGAGATTAATGACAGGCAGTCCCAGGGACACCAGCCCCAACCCCGGCTGCCAGCACAGTGGTCCCACAAGAGCAAGGGGGCTCAGGCAAAAGGGGGCAGGAGGCAAAAGCCAGTGCAGCACACCCAGGATCCCTGCAAGCAGGAAGGGGTCAGTCACAGCTCCACTGCTACAGAGGTCCCCACCCCAGGACAAGGTGGGTCCCAGCTCCCTTCTTCCAGGGGTCCCCCCCCACCATGGGAAGAGGCCAGTCCCAGTTCTGCTGTGCTCCCTGCTCCAGGAGGGGGTCAGTTCCAGCTCCCCTCTGGCCTGAAGAGTTTTATTGCTTTCAGAAGCTTGCTGCCTGGTCCCAGAGATGAAGGGGAAGGAGGGGAGCCAAGCACAGTGACAGGGGCAGGGGCTGAAGGCACCCATTAAATAAAAGCTGAGGCAGGCAGCAGGAAGGATTTGCCCTCAAGGCCTTGCTGGGATGGGACCAAGGGGCTCCTAAACTGGCCAGGGGACAGGAGGCAGCACCAGGACCAAGGGGGTCCCAGTCACCCCTCAGTGTCCCCCATCCCCACAGCCCCAGTTCACCCTAAAGGGGTGTGTTCACTCCAGGCCTAAACCCACCAGTGCTGCCCCAGTCAGGCTTCAGGCAGCCCCTGGCTGGCAAGGCAGGGCTGGGGGGTCCAGGGGAGAATCGGGGGTGCTCACACCAATGTTGACCCTTTCCCAGTGCTGTCCCAGCTGGGCTCTCAGCCTGGTCACCGCTTGTCCCCCGAAGCTCAAGGTCCCTGGGGCTGGTGCAGTCGTGGGTTGGGCGGTCCAGGCTGGGGGGTCCCAGCTGCAGGAAGGTGCGAGGGGCAGGGGGAGCAGCCAGACCCCCTGCAGAGACTGTCCCTTGAGTGAGCTCCAAGGGACAGGCCCAGGGTCCAGCCAGGCCTGGGGTCTGGAAGGACTGGTCCTCTCACAAGTGTTCACTGAGGAGGGAGAAAAGCACAGCTGAGTCGCAGAATCCCACAACAGTTTGGATTGGAAGTGGTCCTATAGTTCATCCAGCTCCTCCCTCTGCCATGGCAGGGACACCTCCCACCATCCCAGGCTGCTCCAAGCCCTGTCCAGCCTGGCCTTGGACACTTCCAGGGATCCAGGGGCAGCCACAGCTGCTCTGGGCACCCTGTGCCAGGGCCTGCCCACCCTCCCAGCTAACAATTCCTTCCCAATATCCCATCCAGCCCTGCCCTCTGGCACTGGAAGCCATTCCCTGTGTCCTGTCCCTGCAGGCCTTGTCCCCAGTCCCTCTCCAGCTCTCCTGGAGCCCCTTTAGGCCCTGCAAGGGGCTCTGAGCTCTCCCTGGAGCCTTCTCTTCTCCAGGTGAGCACCCCCAGCTCTCCCAGCCTGGCTCCAGAGCAGAGGGGCTCCAGCCCTTGGAGCAGCTCCGTGACCTCCTCTGGACTGGCTCCAGCAGATCAGCATCTTTGGACATGGGGACACCTCCTGAATTCAGGACCTGGGCTTCCCTCTCCCACAGCTCCCTGGAGCAGCTGGATGCCCATCTCCATCCACACCTTCCCTGCTCAGCTCCCATCACCACCAGCTCAAGCTAACCCTGCAGCCCCATGTGGACACCTGTGCCACAGCCCCAGCCCTGCACTCACCTGGCAATCCGGGACAGGATCTCCTTGACACGCAGCACCAGGGGCTCGTGCTGCAGGGGGTTGCTCTCGATGGCACTGTGCAGTTTGGCCATGTAGAAGTCCAGGGTGCTCAGCGTGGGGGTCTCCCCAGTGCCTGTGAGGTGACAGCTCAGTGAGCGGGGCCAGCAGGTCCCTACCCAACCCTGTTCATGAGGTGGGAACTGCAGAAGGGACCCCAGCACCAGATGCCACCTCCTGCAGTGGCACAAGTCTAGGAACACATGGATTTGGGCCAATCTGGGGTGCAGCTGTGAGTGTGGCTGCAGAGAAGGAGGGATGCCAGCCTGCCCTGTCTCAGGACAGGGAAGCCAGCTGGCTGTCACATCTCTGGGCTTCCTGGAAAGCTCTTCAAGTGCTGCAGGATCCCACCCCAGCAGCAGATGAGCACCTACCACCACCCCACTGTCCCACAGTGCTCCCTGCATTGGCTGGGGGGACCCCTCAGTGCCCCTCTGCCCAAGCAGGAGTCCCAGCAGCTGGAGGACCCCATGGCTACCCCCAACTCACCAGGGATGGGGAGGGAGGCAAAGCTGGCAGTGAGGGCCTGCCGCACAGACTGGAGCTGCTGCTGCAGGGCCAGGGTCTGCCGCTCCTCCTGTGCCAGCTCCTGCTCCAGCTTCTCCTTGGCGCAGTTCATGCTCTCCGTGTGCTTCTGCAGGATGGCGTTCTGCTCCTCAAACTCCGTGTTCATCTTGCGCAGGCGCCGCAGCTCGGCCTCTCGGGCTGCCGGGACAGCATCGTGTCCGCAGGGACAGACCCTGCCCCCCTCATTCCAAACCCAAATCCTGCCCCACACATGGCTCTTCCAAGCAGCTCTGTATCACCAACATCCAGGTTCCAGCCAGCACCTGGTCCCTCCATACGGGCACCAAGGACACTCCACAGCCCTCCTACCCTTGTTTTGGTCCAAGAACTCCTCGGTGAAGATGGGCACATCAAATGTAGAGAAAGTGTCGCTGCACTCGCCAGCCTGAGGGACAAGAGGGAGGGGTTGGGCAGGGCTGAGCCCACCAAGAGGGGACCCCAACACCGTGGCTGATGAGGGTACTGGGATAGGGTGAGGGCTGGCCCTGCCTGACAAGTGGGGAGGGAGGATGGCTATGCTCTGCCTCCCAACCCTCCAGGAACCTGGGACTCACAGTCCCCGAATTCCCTCTGCCCACCCACATCTACAGCCAGCCCAGCAGTGCAACGTGCCTCAGTTTCCCCACACACAGGCAGACCTGATAGGGCCTTACCTTATGCGGGTGTCCGTTGAGTAGGGTGTTCACAGCCACCGTGCCCATGTCCTCTGCAGCGGAGGAAGGAGGTCACCCCAGGGGCCAGACTCATGTTCCCAAAAGGCTCTGGCATCACCTGGCTGGATCCTGGCAGCCATTGCTCCCACAACCCACCTTTTTTGATCTTTTTCTCCTGGATCTTCTCCGTGCACATTTTGTAGGCCTCTGACTGCTGATATTCCCGCAGCTCCTTCATGTACTGCTGCTTCTCCCGCTCAGCCTCGTCCAGGTACCGCTGTGGCACAGAGGAACCTCAGCCTGCCCAATCCAGGCTCCCAGGAGCTGCTGACCCCTCCCTGCCGAGCTCCCACTCCTCAGCACTGGGGACAGCAAGCTCAGGGGTTTGGGGAGCAGGCTCTGGAGCTGTCCAGCTGGGGGGGGGTCTTCCCTGGGGGTTAGTACCTGCTTCTCTGAGAGCTGCAGTTTGCTCCACTCTGCTCCCAACATCTTTGTGATCTCTGGGAAGGGCAGGTCAGGATGCTGCGTGCGGATCTGCTCGCGCCGCTCATTCAGGAAGCGCACGTAGCCTGTCACAGGGGCTTTGGGGCCATTGGGAAGGATCTTCTTCCTCTTCTTGCCCTTGGGCCAGCCCCTCTTCTTCACCGGCTGGCACCCATGGGGAAAGGACAGCCCATCAGGGATCAGAGCCATCACATCAGTGGGACACAGGAACAGCCCCCAGGCCCACCTGGGCCACACAGTCCTCAAGGAAAAGTCTGAGCCCTTCTTTGGCCCATGGCCACAGCCACACATGGGCTGGTGCAGGGCAAGCAGAGGGACAGGGACAGCCCCAGGCCAGGCACCTTGGGCCCCACTCTTGGGGATCGTGTGAGAAGGGACACAGGCTCTGGGACTCACCTCCTCCTCCGGCTTCTCCCCGCCCACCCGCGCTGACTCTCCCTTCTCCTGTTTGATGGCCACCAGGAAGTTTCCATGCTGAGCCTTGCCCGTGGTATGTCTGCAGCCAGAGAGCACCATCAGAGAGGGCTGGGACACATGGGGGCCAACAGTGACACATCCCCCAGCAGTATGACCTCACACTCACCAGATTCCCCAAATCCCCTTACTCAAAAACAGACTCAAACAGACCCAAAAGTGGCACTGGCCATGGAGCCCTTGTTCCCAAGAGGGGAGGCTACATCAGAGTGATGGCACTGAAGCAGAGTCCAGCTTAGCAGGGCAGTCCTGCACACTAAAGCTGCCCTGAGGTCTGGTGGCAGCCCTGGGACTCATCAGAGACATTTGGATGGGGATCAGCTCTTGGAATCAGGTAACACTGACAGTCACATCCCTGCCTGTCACCTTGGAATACACCTTGGTGGGGAGTCCCAAGGGACTCTGCAAGGGAGGAGGAGCCACAGGGGTTTGGATCCTGGTGCCAGGGACCAGGTGCCACCTGCCCACACCCAAGGAACCTGGAGGCAGAGGATGAGGGCAGGGCTCCAGCCACAACCATCCCAGCAGGTTTGTGCTGTCTGTGACACCTCCCTGACACCTCAAGCGGCTGCACCGTGGGGCCCAGCCCCACTCCCAGGTCATTGCC